GTATCATCAGTTTTACCGCCAATTAGTTGATATTTATCGGATTCTGCCGTAAATTTGCACTGGGCCGTTAAACGACAGTCTGGGTTAAAGAAAAATAAAATGTGACAAAGAAATCGCCCAGCGTTTTTTCGACAGTTTTTTAAAGCGAACCTAAATGCTGCCTTAATTTATGGTTGTGTATATTCTAAACTGTATTCGAAACAATATTGCAGTGGTTTAATTTTGTTTTAATTATAACTGTAGCTTGGATAGGCATTTGAAGTGCTTGCAATTAAACACCATGGAGGCCATTCATGGAGGGGAATAAATAACGAACGAACATATTTAACAACCGGGTATTTTTCAAAGCTATGACGTTTTAGTATTTGATCGCATTCGTATACGCCATTGTACGTAGCCGTTCATGCTGCCAAGCATTGTGTACTACTAGTATAAACTCAACTTTTATATGCACAATGTGCTTTTTAGAACTTGGGTTAGAGCATTATGCGTTTGAACCACAGTATTCTGAGAGTGAAAGCCCAATTGCGTTAAAGTACCGTACTTCCCCGATCGTAAGCCACTCCCAAGTATGAAGCCCATCCCTCTATTTTTTACTAGGTATTTATCGAGTTTAGGCCATTCACGATTATAAGCCCAGAGTGTTTTTACTAGGCGTCGACGATATTCTTTAAAATATGCGTGTAAAAAGTGTGTTTCATTTCACAATAATCGTGATTAGCATGGTTATTTGGTTCGTGCTTTGAAAACTCGCATTAATTTCAGAGTGCATGGCGAACGTACACAACGTGGTTCGCATTCTTCCTATTCTGTCATTTACTCAGGATGAACCCCGATGTTGCAATACTGAAGTAATCCATATTTCTTTGAGTGGTAGCTTTCGAAAAGCCAAAAATAAGATCGTTAAGTCGTGTACCTGGTTATTGGACATGGTTTACTTTGAGACTATCATGAAAGGCCTAGGGGTTGAACGATGTGACATGTTGGCGACCGTTAAAGGTGTTTAAATTTTTCCTCCACACTCAGTTTACCCACGGTTACTATTAACCGTCGTGTACTTTTCGGAAATTGTGAATCGCCAGTTTTCAGGTCAAATCGTGCTGAAAAACCTCATTGTTTTTGCGTCGAGAGTTTGCTACATACCAAAACGAAGATAATGATAAATGCCTTCGTCCACTGTTTCCTCACAGACCCTACCCATTTTTACACCGTAAATTCAGATGGTATGTAAATCGTATTGTAATAAATGTTTGTTTCTTCATTGTAAGTGTCGTGGAAATTAATGACGCGTTTTTTTGTTCAAAAATATGTATTATTTTCCCGAGCCCGGCGTGGTGAACGAATAATTTTTTTTGGATAATTTTTCGTTGTTGGCAAGATGGTTACAGTGTTTAACCCGAAAACAAAATAATCTTTTCTGAGTTGGTCCTCGAGTATAAACTCATCCCTTACTTTTCCCTTACGTGTTCATGCCTCCGGGCTTATGATCAGGGAAGTACGGTATAATGTGAAGATTCAGATCAGTCCAGTGTGAGTGATGAGAGTATATAGTCGACGATGCCCCTTGTTCGGATGATAGTTTTATTTCAAATTACACGGAAGTCATTGAACAATCTGCTTGGTGTTCCCGTGACACTTGTCTCTTGATTTGCCAGTGCAGCCCCGTGAATAAATTGACGAAAATGTTTCCACCACCACCCTACGAACTCAAGATTGCATACTCCAGCATCCAGACTTTTGAAATAATTTGCACGCACAGTGCAGTACTGGAAACAGCATTTATTAGACAGTTAGACAAAAACAAAACAAAATGCCTGTCTCTATCAATCGCACATCCATAATGTTTGTATGTTGATACGCTTGTAAACAAGCCGGTAGGCTGGTTGGCGATCCGCTCCGCTCAAAAACAAGCAACATGTTTTTGGTTGTTTCCATAGTGTGACATAAACGTGAAGCTAACGTCGGTATATAACTAAATGGGCCCTTATACGAAGTTTGCAAAAAACATTCAGTCTTTAGAAGTCACTTAGTTTATTACTAGGACTTATTCTTTTGTTACATCATTTATTATTTCCATCCGTTTTGCGATAGTATTTTCTAGAATGAAGGCAGCATTTACAACAGTTCATTCAAAGTTCAAAGTTGCGTTGAGATTACGTTGATACAGTGTAACAATGTCGGCGCCGGCGATCTCCTACCAGTGCGCAACGTAGCCAAAATAAAAAGCATGGCCATTTGAACACTGCTATTACAAAACCACAGTCAGCTGGCATCGGTGTCGCTGGGTGTATATGATAGAGGGAAGTTGTGCAACCAAATTTGCCGAGTTCGCAGTTTTTTGCCGATAAAAAATAATTAAGGCAAAAACTCACGGTTTTTCAGCATTTTTGTAATAAAGACCAAAATAGGAACATTTCTACTAATTCTTGTGTTTTTTCGACGTTTTTCGAAAAACCTGCGATTAGGCTGCGAAAGTAGAACATTCCGGAGGAGGTGAAACTTTGGCAACGACCACTAACGTATCGTGTCCAGCCATTGGTTGGCCACAAAGAGGTCAAAATACGCGTTTTATTTTTACGCGTTAAATTTGGCTCTTCCGGCAAATCTCTTTCGCGTTGTGTTTAATAACATTAACATATTTAAATGAGCTATGGTGATTTGAACACGTTGGCATTATCCATCATGTTTTGATTGGTAAATTAGCGACTTGTTTAATCATTTGACATTATTCCAACTTACCAGCAGACAGTGCACAATAGAGTATCATTATTGAGGTACAATTATTAACAGGAACGTGTCTTGGTATTAGGGTTAGGGTCGGGACAGGTAAAACGCAAATGGCAAACACCAAATTGGTTGAGACTCAAGATGTACACTAACGGGTTACGGCATACATATAGTTTACACAAGGAGAACACACCAAATTGGCAGTATTGTTGACAATTGTAACTCCATAATTGAAAATGTAGTGTATTTTATAGATATACACAGTCACTAATATAATCTTATCAAATGCATGAAGTCAGTCCATCATGGTCTTGTGGTTCACTTGTGGTCTTGTCTGCTCAAATCTCACCCGTGCCTGTCTTTTCTCACAAACACTAACTTGAAATAAAGCTAAGTATTACAACAAATTATTTATTTCTGTGACTACCCACATGGTTCAGTGGATATGTACACTGTCAGCAATGTGAGAGATCGCAGGTTTGAATCCTCTGGTTTGCGGAATTGAAATGCCGACCACTTTCTCCTGTGTTCCGGGCCTTCGAATATTCGTTTCAAAACGAAGCTTTATTGATACCGATTTCCAGGTCTACGTATGAAATTATAGTCACGTAACAGAATTTGTATCAAAGTGTTTAAAACACAGTACTTACGAGACAGTGGCACGTAATTGCGTTAAAAATATCGGTATATCTACATCGATCAGGTGCGTAAGGAAGATCTTATTGAAATAAAATAAAAATAACCAGTATTACTGCAATGCACAGGTTCGTTACGGTGTTTAATATGTATGTATAAAATATGAAATACAAAATAGCTATAAGATATCAATGTTTATTTTAATCACAATAAACATGGATGTTAAAAATATGTGTTAGCTCCATGCATTAAACAACCAATGTTAACTTTCCGATCATATACTTAAACTCAGACTATGCCAGAAGTCTGAGACGTAAATGACACAGTTTTGAGCAAAGAAAATTTAAAAATGAATCTGTAAAAAACATATTATTATATAGAAATGAATAATTCAATAAAATATATAACTATTCTGTACATATTTAAAACCATGTCCCAAATATCGCGTCATTTACTCAAGCCCATACGTTAATATTAAAGCACCACCCCCACGATACTTCACGAATTTCACTCGCTTCGAAAAATGATGCGTTGTATTTCTTGAAATATAACGGTGCACATCGTTCATATTCACATGATGACGAGCATTTAATATGTAGATTCGACGTGATCGTATTTTCAGCATCTTTGGACAAGTCCGTCGAATCGCACGCGCAACATTCTTCTAAATCGGCCAAGTAATTATTCAAAATAACCATGTCGGAGAATTTTCTTGATGAACACTCACTTCTAAAGTTGTCCAGTCTTTTTCTTTATAAATTCATCAATGTTATATGAGATTACATAGCATATGTATCTGATTGCTGTGTACAAGACACACAACGGGGGACATTGCAGTTTAGATATCTCTAATTATGGATGTCTGTATATATGTTTCTGTTCCAACAATATTTCAAGAACCAATTACAGAGGCGGCGGCACGGAATTTGGGGCGAGATCTGCCCACCATCCCTCTCACCGAAGGCGCGACTTAACTAGGGGGTCCGGGGCATAGTCCCTCGGGAAAAAATGAAATCTAGACCCTCTGAAACGCTATTTCCTGCATTTTGAGTGGCAAATTTTGCTGACACAAAGGGTTTCAACTTGATTGTGGGGGTGGCCACCCCCCGTGCCGCCGCCACTGAATTATTAGATTTCAATGATGTTTTGTGATAATGCAGAGACCTAATATAGTTCCAGTCGGTAATATGTTATAGTATTATACACTGCCTGAAAAACCGTTGAGCGACGGGTCAATTGGTTTACTTATACTAATAATTATTCACCCATTGAATGTTTCTGCGTAATTAGGATGTGCTAGCCGTCTGTCTGGTCATCGTTAGGCGTGTTCAGTCGTTCAGCAATATCGTAAATGTTCACATCGGTGTCTCGAAGATCTTCATAATCTGACATATCTGGGGGTATCAAGAGATCCAAGACATTAACGTGAGTCTACATACAGATATGAAAAGTAGATCACAAAAAATGTGAGAAATAAAAATTCAAGCGATTTTAGGAATTTTCAACTCAGATTGGTGTTATCCGTGTGTCTACAGTTTTTGCCTTATTCTTCTGTAAAATCCTCGCTCATTTCTATTCACATACTTGTACATGTACTTTGATTTCTCGACTAGTGTCCATAAAGTTATCCGACGCCTCTGATGAGAACATTTTCGATTTATACACGGTTTCGCGTGGGATTCATTCATCAATGTGAATTCCACGCTATCGTAAAACATGTGCACCCACCCCACATATTTACAGTTGGAATCTCGTTGCGTGTCAGTGTCTATGATTATGATAGTTGCCCATTGCTTATTCTGCATTTTTTGTTACCGACTGATAGGACGAACACTGTTGTAGATTTATGTCAAATATTTACCTTTGAGCTCTGTGGGATGTTTGTCACGCGCTGCGCTATATTTGGAACTCGTTATTCTTCGGCTGCGAAAAGAACAAAACATTCAGTAACATTCATATTAATATTGATCTTTTCTTAGTTAAATGTGGACAAAATGGGAAACAATCCTAGATATTAGTCAAAGTTTTGAAAAGAAATAAAAAAAAAATGTTTTGTGAACAATGACGAAATTTGACTTTGGCGCTCGAGGGTTAACAACATAATAAAAGCAATGTATGTGAAACACAGGTATATGTTCCGTTATGGAGGGACACACACAACAAACAGTCCGAAATCTAATAATTAAACTTGCATATTATTCCCCGATGTCTTCGTTCAACTGGGGGGAAATACGAGTGACGTGAGAGCCATAAGGGCCAAGTAGTGATGCGGCCCTTATGTTATGAGTACCCCCCCCCCCGGATGAACGAGGAAAAATATTAGGGATATTATTATCACATATACAAGTTGTTGGTTTCTTCAATGAATTATGATTTTTTTTCATCTGACTTTCTTTGGGACTATGTTTTGAAAAATTACATGTAGTCATGCGCTAAACTGATAACATAGTACATATTGTTACAGCTGACAATTTCGTTTTAAGAATATTTTCGTTCGTGTACAACATTCATTTTAACGAAGTGATGATCCACGCTATGGAAAAAACAATGATGCCATTTAGTGACAAATAAAATTGATATCATGAACTTAATTATAGGCATAGTTTCTTCGGAAAACTATACTATTTGAACTTGAGTTACTCCCCTGGGTTATTCTAAACGAAAGCAGAGCAACTCCCAAATCGTCTACGACTTTCACGGTTTTTTCGGTACGTCCATAGACCATATTGCAAAACAAAATGTTAGTGCATTGTGGGGTAGTTAGTTAAAGTTGCACGCGCGCGCGGCTTGCGATGAAAATTAACGGAGTTGTGTTCGATCGAAGTTTGATTCGGTCAAAACTATCCCACAATGCACTAACATTTGGATTTGATTATAATTTTTGAATTCCCCTTTTATAGCTCAATGTCGATCTTTGAGAGGGGAATATTCCCTTAAAATACCATAACTTCATCAAAGTTGAATATCATTAAATGTGTATAGCACATTAATAGACGTGACAATACCCCGTCCCAAACTTGTCGAATCTCACGCGGTATGTTGACATAACTGCGACGATATAAATATTCTTTGTCCTGTTTGTACGTTCGATGTCACGCATACCGCCAGATCTCACCAAATTGTTCGCGCAATTTTTCATCTACTAAAATGCAATACACAGAATGAAAGAAAAGTTCCTTTCAAAACAAGATGGATTTCGTTGCTGTCTTACCTGAAAATTGGCTGTTTATGTCTTTTCCAAAAAAACGCCACCAGTCCAATAGTAATGACTATAAGAATAACAAGGAGGCCCACAAAAATTCCAATATATGTTCCAGACCTATTTCCCCCAGTTGATGTCGATGCCACTGCAGGTATAAAAATATTCAATGAAATTGATATTTCAAATACAGTTACATACACAAATCGAAGGAAAGTATAAATATAATTTGTTATCACCGAATCGTATTTCGGATATTCGTCATCATCGAAAAGAACACAATTCTAAAAATATAACTCGCCTGAAAATGTTCTGAAAGGTTTGTTGAATAAATGAATTTCTTGAATCTGTTTTTAAAAAAACGTAAAATGATTCTTTATAATAATCACAAAGTATTCTAATAATTGGGTTTATGAAATACAGATTATACATTTAATATCTAGACTAGCCTCAGTATGGAGAATGATACATGGGCGTAAGATCAATAGTTTCCCTAAAACAGCATGTGACGTTAGATAAAAAAAAATGCCCCAAATGGTGATACTGATTTCGCTTTTTAACACTATTAAGAACTAAAACCGCGCAATAAGAAAGACAACTGTACATATGAATTACTTTCACTTACCCCCGTTGTCATTACTAAGACGCCATAATAAACATAGTACCGATTTCCTTCCGTCAATGGAGCGTTATAATAGCCATTGTACATCATGCCGTCCCCCAGGGTAAATTCTGCTGGGATCTCATTAAGTGTGAACACAGCAGCGATGTAATAAGGCGCACCACCCTGGTTATAAGTAGACAGTTTGGCTAAATTTTCATCCCATCTAAGATCGTTCGCTGCATCAACGTTAACAGCAATAATGTATTTCCTAGGCGAAGATAGATAATGTAAAACATTTAAAAAATGCAGTGTTTTTTTTTCTTTTGTTGTAAAACAAATTTAATAAAGACGCATTGATATATAGCAACGACTATAACAAATACAGTTTAAAAATTCCAGGGCGATAGTTTAAATAACAACAACCATGCGTTCGAGCCGGATAACTCAAATTACTAGTATGATATTGTAATAGTACAGGTGTATATGCAAACTAGCTAATTTTCATATCGCGCTCACTTTTCTTATTTATTTCCGGTCAGTATCGCATAATTAAAAATGGCATTTTCATTCAAGTTCACAAAAAATGATGACTTTTAGCTGAATTGTCATGTTACCAGTGAAATTTAATCCTACACCAACAGAACAAGTTTGTCATTGTCTTGAATGCTTCAATTCCCACCAAAAGTACACGCATCAAAAAACATGCACGTGATTTGCTTTGTATATCAAAATATTGTATACAAGACTTGAATTCATTTCATCCAAATTGTACAATTTGAATCATTTCTTCACTTGTAGTTTCTTCCGGAAGTCGTTTCAGTTATGGAAGTCATTTACACTGGTAACCAAACTAGCCAACCTCAGCCAATGGTATGATGAAATAACTCTTGATTGCCAAATAACAAAAGAGACCACGTGATCATTAGATTCAAATAAATCCTGAACTAGCCATATTCCACATTGAAATAAATCTTTCCAGAAAACCGACCTGTTATCCACGAGGAACAATTTATTGTTCCAGAGTAGAATACATGAAACCACAGAGGGACTGTGATGAAACAGAATTTTGTTTTTATACTTGCAACCAACTATATCCCGCCCCAAATAAATTTATCAATTATTTTGTTAATATTTTTGACATAATATTCTTGCATTAGAATTAGTGAAGAAACAAAAATAAACTTTGAAATAATAAATATTTCTCTGTCTCCATATATTAAACACATTTTTGCTTTTTATTCTATGTTCAAAGTTACTTTTAGCAGCCTCGTTCCTATCATAAGAAACAAATATTCCCAATATTCGATATGTCAAGTAGTTTTATTTTGCACATGCGCAATGAACCAAGCCACATAGCTTCCGTTTTGCCCTTGTTAATGTTTAAACCCGAAAAACGACCGAGTTCTTCCACGGTTAAAAAAAAATTGCGGAATCAATATCAGGTTAACAAAAACATTTGTATCGTCCGCATATTGGGCTAATTTTAGTTCTTCATTACAAATATTAATACCCTTATATTGTTTATTTTGCCTGCTCGAGATTGTCAGCAATTCTACGGCGGTATCAAAAAGATAACGCGATAAACATGCCGTTTGATATAGCAAGCTAAATTTTATCATCAATTAAAAAAACATGCTTTTACAGACGGAAATGTGCATTATTGTTGACAAATATCCTATTGTATGCTGGGTATGACGCTCACACCGGTCAAGTTACCGACAGTGCAAGTAGCCAATCAGCACCCCGTTTCTTTCAATAATGAGAGATACGTCATAGTGTTACAGATCATAATTGCCCAAAAGTTTCAGTGTGTTGTTGAGAGGGTGGAATTATATTGTGATGTCGTAATGCAGGCTTGGTTCTGGCCCGGGGTTCTGGCTTCTGAGTGGTCGGTGTCAACAGATGGCGATAATTAGAGAAGGATTTGTTGATAGGGAACGTAGTTCACCTTGCCTGGTACAAATTGAATTAAAGCTACCAGTGTATAAGTAGCCTCGGGACATCGAGTGAATGTTTTGACCTAAGCCTATCCATCGACCCTGTGTTGGTTACTACACTTCAACTATGCATGGACATGTGCGTGCATACTTTGAGGTATCCTCGTAATAACCTTAATATTATACACCTTTTCTTTCCAAGGATACATTATAAGATTGCCATAATCCAAAACGTTTTGAACAGAATCAGCGAACTTCTTTGTATGGATTCCGGTCAAACCCTGGTGGCAGCCATATTTCTTTTTATTATTAGAGGACGCTTACGCGCGTAATCATTCCATATTTGGAATTCTTATTTCCTAATATGGTAGGATGAAAATACCCTGTAAAATACCGCAAAATTACGGCACGTTGTAATGGCGTTACGGTGACAGATGTATAATAATATGTGTCATTGAGCATTCATTTATTTTGTGGTAATTTGAATATTCAAAAATATTATTTGTGCTGTGCGAATTTGTTAAGCCATATATAGTATATACAACATGACGAAGTTCCCTACTTTGTCAATGCATCTCACGTTAGGATAAAAAAAAACAGAATTGTTGCATGCGCTTGTCAATTCTCTCACTATTCAAACACACTTTGTTCGTGTACATACAGAAGATTTGTTTCTTTCTTGATATTGCTGTCATCAAGTTGTGGAAGATAAAAAGAAGAAGAATGACCATGTCCTTGTATTTCCTCTATTCCGGCAAATATGTCAATTTCTAGTTGAAAATAAAATGTGAAAGATTAGTAAGAACGCTCTGTGAACATATAAGCAGAAAATAATTCACTTGGTGTTATACTTTATAACTTAACAATACGTAGCATTACCTTTCATTTTTGTTCCAGTGAGTATCGTATCCGAAGCTCCAAAACCTGCCTTTGTACTTGCAGAAACGGATATCACAAATTGAGTTCCTGGCGACAATCCATGTAAAGTATATGTATCGATATCGCCATGTAGAGTAATGGTGCGGGACGTTTTGTTGGCGTTTAAATATATCGAGTCCCTATATGAAAGCGTTATCTGAAACACAACAAAAACCGTAATGAGTACGTGAAATGGGAGTGAATATGATTGCTAATGTAAATGAGTGCCAGTGTAGATCGTGTGTAACTTATGCGTACAGTAAAACCAGTGTAACCAGACATGTTGTGTTCTAAACAGATGACCTATATATGAAAGATACTTTTCGGCGAATGGAAATATGACATCAATTTGTCAGCTTGAGAAGCAAATATAGGGTCGTTTCACTAAACCAGTGCCAGATGCATGGTAACACGAACTGAAAGCTGATTTTTGTATATATATGGTTGTATCGGGGATGGTCAGTAGTGGTAACCAGCAAAGGTTTTATCACTGTAACTTTTTACCGACACTGTTAAATTGATATATTACGATAAGAAAGTCTTTTGGAGGGGTAGGTCAATCCGAATAAGACGACACATAGTAAAGAACACACACACAAGACAAACATACATATAGCATATCTCAACCAACATTGATTTTCAAAGGCTTTAAACTGTGAACAAGTATTATGGTTAATATACTAATCTTGATTAATGCAAAATTGTACAATTACTCACCATATATTTGATAATATTTCCGCTGAATGTAGCTGGCGCAGACCATTTTAGTACAATGATACTATCACTGCATATGAGAACTTGGAGACGCGTTGGTTTCGCTGGCACTATGAAAGTATAAACTATCGTCGATTACAAAGATGACTTGCCTAAAAATATTAAATAATCTTACAATTGTCATAAATATGAAATTCTGAACAATTGACATATACTGAATTAATAATTGGAATAAACTTACGTGTGTCTGATGTACGGATAGTCACAACATCACTTGACATTCCCTGACCTGCTTCAACACTAGCAGCGACCTTTCCGTACAAAACATAGCGATATATCAGTTTATTTCAATAATTTGTTTACAAATTGTGCTACTACATTGTTTTTTTTGTGTAACCACATGAATATCCTGTCGAAGAACATTTAAAGGCACCGTTTTCAGAATCATCAAACACGCAAGGCTAAATTGAAGCCAGACGTTAGTGATATACATCATACTCTGTTGTTATAGCAACAATTACAGTGATGAAATCATAATTAAATTATATAACTGCAATATACTATACCTGTATTTTATAGTTTACATTATATTCAAGATTATGTATAGTGTATGTATTATAATTGCCCAAGTTGTCAGTGATAACAATCGTCTGTGTAGTAGTGATATCTCCAGACTTCCAGTAAAATAAACAATAGTTTATAATGCTTTCGTTAATATACTCTGGTATGTTCCATTCAACTGTGATTGAGCTAACCGTGGCGTGTAGTGTCACATTTCGTGGAGCCCGTGGAACTACAATCAGAAATATATGCAAAACAATGTTACTTACTTGTAGACATCAAGTTTCATGCAGAAACCATTTCATTACGACTCAGGATGATATCTGGGAGCAGGTTGTGTTCACTCATTTTGAAAAACCTCATATCAATTCATGTATACAATGGGGTCCATACATTTCTCTATTACTTATGTGACCATGTTTTATAGTATACCTGTTTTGTTCTTGTACATTGTTTTGTCGATTGTTTTGTCATTTGTTTGTTTAAAATGAGATATAGTTTGGTATGTTATTTCTATTGTGCTACTCACGTGACTGCACGGAACATAAAGTTTATTAAATATATTAATCAATGGAATAAACATACGAATATTCAGACATTCCGTTACCTGTCAGAATGCCAATGGGTCGGTATATTAATTGAACTGTCTGTACCTAAAATAAATACAGATGGTATGTACGTGATCATGATATCTGGTACTGGCAAGTGTAGACAGGTATTAATATTTCTTACGTATTCAGTATGCCCAAATATCGGTTTACAAAATATCATTTAACATATGATAAACATATATATAAATATATAATCAAATATTGCTGTTTGACGATGGTTGATTTTTCGTAAATTATAATTGTTACTTTAACAACACGCTTTATAGCGTATTCGATTGATGCCAAATGTAAAACAGTAATACGCATGCGCAGTAATTATTATTGTACGTACCAAAACAGTGTGCATTTATGTATTAGAGAATTTCCCCCGAATGGGTACGCCGTTGTTTTATCATCCATATTGCATATTATAATAACGAATATATTAGGATCATTTACAAAGGTTCCTTACCCCGCTTGTCAATACGGATAAACCATATAATAAGTTAAAAGACCTGCCAGGAGTTAGTGGAACATTGTAATACCCGTTGTACACCATCCCATCGCCTACAGTGAACTCAGACGGAATTTTATTCAGTTGAAATGAGGCTGTTATGTAATATGATGACGAGCTGTCATTGTACGCAGTTAGCATGACGACGTCTATGTCACTTCCGTCGTCTATGTCACTTCCGTTATTATGTGGACTTTTATGGTGGACGACAATAATGTAGTTCCTGTATGAGCACGATAGTAAGAGTAAAATAAAAAAAATACATTAAATAAATAATACTCTAAAAAATCTTTAAAAAAGGCTGAACGTTGGACAAAACTACAATATATATATATATATATATATATATATATAACATCGTAATTTAACAGGTGAATGAAACACCGTCAAATACTGAAAAGTTACATTCTATTGGCGCATTGTTTCTATGTATGGAGGGGGAAAAGGATCTTTTCTACCTCCGGTGAGAACGGATGTCTTCAACTTATTATTTCGAAAGAGTAATAACACGCACACCTGATACCCGCAAATGATAGATTAACAAACTGTGTAATGGCGTTGTATATACATGTGTAAATTTATGGTATACGTACAGTAGGCTTGTATTCCTGTCAATCCTATTATCTGCTATCTGTGGTAGTTGAATGTCGACTGTCGCATTAGTAAGTTTAAGCTGCTCCGTGACGTCAATAGCGTCAAGAATACTTGTCACTGGAAAATAAATTTCCGACATTCACATTGTGAATACATTTTTTTAAATAATGCATCTCAATGAGTTGTATTTGAAAAATGAATAATATGAAAGTGTTCCAAAATATGTACATAGTATTTGGAATGGGAAGGTCAATTTATTATATTTTCATATGGTATTACCTGATATATCCGTTCCAGTTATTATTGTATTCGCCTCACCGAATCCTACCCCTGTACTAGCAGACAGGGACACACGAATCATTGTGCCTGGAGGTAGGTCTTGTAATGTGTACTCGTTAATATGACCAAAGACTGTGAGGTTTTGAAATATATTGCTGGCATTCCAGTAGACAGATTCGATTGATGAATATGCTACCTACAAAAGTAGGATAGTTATTTCAATACAGTAGGGGTCTGATGTTATACATATTCACGGCAGTTTTTTAGCATCATCTTCCAGGCGAAGTATTACCATGCAAGGTTTTTATATTTCAATTTATTTATACAAACATGAGAGTGATATATGATCTCAGACCCACCTCGTACTTAGTGATATTACCACTGAATACAACAGGTTCGTTCCATTCCAGTGTAATAGAATTGTTGTTTGTAAACACTACGTTGAGATAATCTGGTTTGCCTGGAACTGAAATATTAGCAACATAGGGAAAACAGGAAACACTGTCAATAATAGCTTTCTATCATATAATATATAAAATGAAATTCTGCTCAAAGTCTGAAGTCCATTATGCACAATTTAATAGTGTACTATCGTACACTTGTAAATGTTGAAAATAGAACGTGTAATCACATACCCGTGTCTGCTGTCCGTATTTTGACAACATCGCTAGCCATCCCGGTCCCTGCCCCTGTTGTTGCTGATACCTAAGGAATAAAACAGAAAAACCAAATAGTTCATGTCTCTTGATGAACTTGTTACCACTGCTATATGGCCACGGGCTTTATGAGATACTAGATAAACGTGAATTCACCTGTATAGAATACTGGACATTGTAGTTTAGATCTCTTAGTATGTACGCATTCACATAATTCAATGTGTCGGTGATATGCACCACTTGTACTGTGGTATGGTCGTCTCTCTTCCAGTATGTTATCATATAATTACGAATTATACCATTGACATATTCGGGTATGACCCACTCAACAGTTATCGAATGCGCCGTGTGCTGTAGCGTTACATTTCTAGGTTTAGTCGGAGCTGTAAGATACGTATAGACAATTGGTATAAGACATTTTACAAATGTTCACCCGAACAGAAGACGGGCAGTTTTAGCGACTTGAAGAGCTCATTGCCGCGCGGGGTGAAATTAATGTGTTCTCTGTTGCGCCCAAATATTACTAACCTCGCGTTTTTTACAGGGGCAGCCACTGAAACATGCTAACGATGGTGCTTACCCACAGATAAGCGATTTATTGCTTATTTTTTTCATTTAACTAATTATTACGCAATTAATAGTTTACAGCCTTTGACCTTTAAATGTTTAGGACCACAATTCACTTACAAAACCCTTGCGAATAGTCGCCGTGTGATGGCGTTTTAAGCCTCGTTTCATAGTCGGCGAAATGGTTACGTAATATTTGAGTTGACGCTGATACCTATGACATTTTACATTTTGGTTTGAGTATAACGTTTATTCTTGCTAGATGATGGCTAGCGTTAACATCGTTGCAATATCCTGACATGGTTCAATATTTAATATAATAATAATTTATAAATACATACTTACTGGCTTCTGGTGTTAAAACCGTGATAAAGTTACTTATTGGGCTTTCGAAATTGTAGTTTCTAACAACTGTAGTTACTTCGTATATAGTGTACGGTATCAAAGAATCACTTGCAACCACATACGTATCAACACTGGATAGATTCCCTCCGATATCGAACTGTTTCGTTTGGTACTCATCGTCCATGTTCGCTTTCCGATATTTGACTTCGATGTTATCGATGTAGCCATCAACATTATTTACATTACATCTTATTTGATTGGCAGTCGGTATCTAACAGAGAAAGAAAATAGTTGGTAATGCCCCACAATAGAACGACCCAGGAAACATGTACAATGTATGTGCGTGTTGCAAAATGGCCATTTTATTCCACCCGAAAAAGATGGTAAGTTTTACAAAAATAGCCAAGTGGCCCATGAACTTGTTACTTAAAGGGCGGTAGTCGTCGCGACGCGTCCTGTTCGATATGCGACTCATAGCGACGTATACAACGCGTGTAAAATACATTGTTTATTTACATGAAATTCGAACACGCGCTGCGCGACGACCACCGCGCTTTAATATAACTAACACTAGACGTCGCCCAAGTCCATGGTGTACGTCCATATACCACGCACGAAAATACAGCATATTTGGGTAAACATTATAAGAGAGTAGACGATACAAGGCGCTTAGTTGTAGTCATTGCGTACCTAAAATAAGTACACGGGTAAGGATCATTATTGTTATAAGCGTAAACACAAACATTATTGGATTATATCAGACAGCCACATTGAATACATGAATATTTAAATTAATTAAATACCTGTATTTTAATATGAATCTCTTTTTGACGGGGAGCTGATACATCTATAACAGTGAGTTTATCTGGCTCTGAAATATATAAAGCGATTTCTTAAATCAGCAACAGTAGTATATGTGATATTATTCCTAGTAACTAGATTTATCATAATCGTTCTAATATTATTATCGTATTGATGAGTAAAAAATAGATGTTACTGTCTCATAATTTATTATACAATATATCGTACATCTTGCCTATAGTTATTTCATTATTCAACTTCTCATGGTAATGTTTTGTGTATATGCATATTATAATGGTAAAGCTGCTGGCCACGTGATCGCATATCGCTCGTTGCGTCTTTATATATTCGTAATGTGCTTGTAATTCCATGTACTTATCATTTCCGAAAACACGTAATCATCAAGTTCCTTGTGAAGGAAACAGTCAAACATTGCAGTGATATTTAATAACTTCGCAACCTACTGCCGCATGTTGTAGTTTCTGTAACAGTTATCTCGTCGCTGCCTTCACCAAACTTTCCTGGTCTGGTCACAGTCACCGTGAACTCGTAAGTGGTAGACCAACGTAATCCTATGACGTTTGAACTATAATTCTGTACATGTGTGCCATTCGCTGCCTGATATTCTACATACATCCAATTACTGATGTTACTCTCTCTGTAGTACACTGTGTAACCTTCGATCGGACCATCCCCTATATCCCCAGCAAGGGGATTCCATCTATTCCAAGATATTCTGATTACATCTGGATAAATCTTTGTGATATATGGGTGGTTATTAGAATGAAATCTTGGAAGTTCTGTAAATGAAATGCATTCATATATTCACAAAGATGAACAGCCGTGCGTATATGATTTAAGTGTTAGCATATGGGAGACGGAGTCAAGGGGATTGGCACGAGAGGGCGCCGTCCGATCTGGATGAAATTCTAAGGTTCTATACTCCTGTTCACTCAGCAGTGTGAACTTCACTTGCTTTCGACATTTATTGGAGAATAGAATCCAGTTGAGGTAGACGTAAAGCCAAAAAGTCTGACTAGGAACATATTTAATTCAACCATTTAGTGTATAACAGATGCATTTTTATTTGACGTGATTTTTATCGTTTTTAAAATATCATTATTGTCAGGTTACACGTGCAGCCCTGCCATCAGTCGATATCAAAGCAGTGTTTGCTGCCAATATGCGAATACTGCTACTGCACTACTGTGTACTGATCGTGTAAACCATGCATCCATAATAATTATTTGGTTTGTTAAAATTGAGAAATCCTGGACACTTTCGTCTGGTAATGTATGTATGTGCGTATATTCGCGTGTCGTTTGCTCGCGAGCTTCTGCACATACCGGTAAATAAAATACAATCTCCTACGACGCGCTAACCACACTCTCTCTTTCTTTATTAGGGACAACATCAAAAGTTCAATGTAGGATAACAAACTTAATTTCTTTAGCTTTTTCCCCAAACCCCCTACCCCCCACTGAAACTTAATTGATAAATATTGATCACGTCGTCAGACTACATTCACCATTAAATACAAATTGATAATCGGACAGTAGTATGGCATAGCAGTTGGTTCTAGGTCCATGCCCTGAAATTGACCTCATTGGACGCACATATTTACACTCGGACCAAACCATTTTCTCGTCTTGGATGTGTGTTTTTTTTCATTTTCTGTTATTTTTTTCCATGATTGAATAGAAAAAACACGAACTACAAATACTCCATGATTTTTTTGACTTCATTAAAAAATAAAATCGTTTTTGTAGGATGGAAATTTTTTGAGGTCACCCCCCCCAACCCCCAAACTAAAGCAAATAAGTTTTTTATCCGACATCGATCTTTTGACGTCGTCCCTTACTATGCTACCACTGCACGTATAATTCATTTTGTAACAATTTATGGACATTATATTTGAACCCATTATTGTGTGAAAACAAGGCTCGGATGAGGATTTTCGCTTAAATAATGGCCTCGCTACGTCTTATCTATTATTGAACATAACACAGTTTTTAACTATTATCACGTCACGCAGTAATGGACAGTCGTTCAATATCCATTACTACTAAAGACATGGATTATATATATAGACTTTCACGATGCCCGTCCCAATCAAGCTCGGATTAGACAAACCTCGTAAATGCTATGAAACTTACCATATAGTTGCGTGGTTATAGCAACCGAAATCATTTCATGTGGAACATGGCACACAAAGTCACGTGTGCTGTTCACAACCACGCCACTGTAGTTACCAACGGCAATGTACGTGTCACGCGTGTAATAATCACTTATAGTGACGTATTCGGCTGTGTCCTCGTTCACAAGCATCATGTGAGTCTGCTGTATGACAGGATTACTAATGACTTCACATATAAAGTAGGTCTCTTCACCAGGATTGACTTTTTTGGTGTAGTGGTCTCCAAACTTGACACTGCCGTCTAACAGAAAAAGCATCATAGAAGTAATATCCATTGCGTGAATTATTTGAGATTGAGCTATTTATATTCTTCTGCTATTTTACATTTGGAAACTTAAAGGTTGTAAATACTTAGTCTCAATACTGTCAGCCGTATGCCAAATGGTCGACAGAGGGCAGTATCCTTATTGGTTATGTTCTGCTCACATGATTGCACGATGCAGCCAATTACCAAACACTTATGAAGAATTTGATCATTTTAGATTTCGTAAATTTCCCCACTACTTAATCCATTTTTTTCTTGTTCACTTAGTCTCAATACTGTCAGCCGTATGCCAAATGGTCGACAGAGGGCAGTATCCTTATTGGTTATGTTCTGCTCACATGATTGCACGATGCAGCCAATTACCAAACACTTATGAAGAATTTGATCATTTTAGATTTCGTAAATTTCCCCACTACTTAATCCATTTTTTTCTTGTTCACTTAGTCTCAATACTGTCAGCCGTATACCAAATGGTCGACAGAGGGCAGTATCCTTATTGGTTATGTTCTGCTCACATGATTGCACGATGCAGCCAATTACCAAACACTTATGAAGAATTTGATCATTTTAGATTTCGTAAATTTCCCCACTACTTAATCCATTTTTTTCTTGTTCACCTTCTACTGCACCTTCGGCCTAATGTAATTGTGTATTCTAGACATTAAAATGCCGAAGTTGTTTGATGGGACTTACACTTCCTGTCCCGGCGTTCGCAATTTATACACGCCTATTACGTTTATACACAATTTGTATTAATAATATAGATTAATATTAGATACGACCGACTGTCGACAGTCTACATACTAACCTAAGACACATACATACCTTGTTGACAATCCGAATCTATAGTATCTAGATTTATCCATCCTGGTGCACAATCTCCATTTGGACAAACACCAGTGTTCTTATCACATGCTGCATTGTTTTTACAATGACAATTATAGTTGCATAATTCACCATAGAAACCAGTGGAACATGAAGATGAGACTGTAGATGAAGTTATTCAAGAACGATGTATGTGTTTTGCGTAATTCACGTGCAATGCATATGAATGTCCAGTATTGCGATACTTTGAGCATTCGCACTGGACACAGGAAAGAATGGTGCGACTGTTTCTTACACATCTGCCTGCGAGGCACTTGTTATGCACGTGCACCAAGGGTACTACACTCACTGAGTCTGCGTCAACTATGAGCGATGAATGATTTCTGTGTAACGTGGGATTGTAAAAAAACCTCGTGGTAAATAACAAATACACAAGGACGATATTGATAATTTGTGTAGTACAGATCACGTATACATATATTATATCACATATACTGTGAAATACTTTATTTTCGCTGAAAGAATGATTGAGTGAAAATAAAACCCAGCGAATATACTTTTTTCCTATACTTTAAATTCAACATGTCAAAAATCAGTGAAAATAAATTCCATACAAAACACCCAACAAGTTTTTTTTCAGCGAAATTTAATTCCAGCTAAAATAAAGTATTTTAAAGTATGCACTTTGTATCCTGGAAACTTGAAAGTGAAATATCTGTGTGAATATTTCGATGTTTATACCTTGGCAGTTATGTCCACTAAATCCAGTTATGCAGGAGCCGCCATTATTACACGCTCCTGTTTCCTTATTACAACCGGTGGTGCAATGACAAGTCTGTGTGCACCCAGATCCGTATTTTCCCTGAGGGCAGTCTGAAAATAATACATTTAATGACACATAAAAAATGAACTTTGTTTTATATGAGCTGCGTTTTCGTACTATTTAATTTATGTATCACTGTGGTAATATACTATGTAAATGCGAATAGCAGTAACTAGAAAATGAATAAAAAAAAACTATTTTTCATGTATTATTCGCATGTTATTATTATAGATGTCAGACGGCATATCAATATCATAGTTTCACATAGGTAATTATTACATTGATTACAAAATGTAAAAAATGTGAAAGGTCAGCTCATGTTCCTTTATATTAAAAAGTAAAATAACCCCTCATTAACGAAATATTGAGAAAGCACACTCGTTCTAAGGTGCATGGTGCTGTGAAATATCGGAAATGCACGAATCAAAACTGCGCTACAAATATTCGAAAAGGTGGTACTCGTTAGACAGGGCGCTGTAACGTACTCTTTCGGTCATATTGACCAATCGAACATTTTCAAAATCCTGACGATTCCTGATTTTCGCATGTTTATCACTTTTTATGAAAGCTCAAATCGCACCATATGAGATTCGGATGAATTGTTTACATAAACACTGATTGAAACTCCAGATACATCCCGGGAAAACAACTTTTGTAGTCTAAGGGCCAGTAGACGGTTTGCCTAATTCTACTTCCCCAAGTAGTTCACGCTCTCCAAGGTTGTGGTGTTTTGTTTAGTTACTGCATTCACCTTCAAAGCAGTCTAACCCTGTGTAAGACGCCTGACACGAACATCCATACGGGTCCTGCAGACATAGCAGTCTACTACGGCATACGTCAGATTTGTGAGACGAACATTGTCGGTCACAATTATGTCCCCAGTAGTTATTTCCACACCCTGAAATTAGAAATACACGTCATCAGATAAATTAGACATACCAGACATGTTCACATGATAACTACTAGTATATTGTTTTTTTGTACTTTTGATTCAATCAGTTGTTACATTGCCTCAAACACACATTGTTGATGCTCTCAATCTATAGGCACCAGTATTCACAATTCTACAGTCTGATACAGGATAACTTATGATTTTTTTCGTGGCTCGACTTTTACACTTCCACAAAAAAGAAACAGACCCAGTGATATGTCATACCAGAAGGAATGTTCCCCGCCAAAGCTTAATAAATGGGTTAAAATTCTGAATCGGCAGATTGAGACTGCATAGTTTGAGTTATCTCATATTAGCTGGGACATTTTTTGAAAAGAGCTTCGTGTATTATATTAAGGAATGAATATTCATGACCAGATGGCCATATAGCAATGTTTTAGAACAGGTGAAAACACATCTTTCAGTTAATATGTTTGATTAGTTTCATTTATGTGTGATAGAGTGCAGTTGGTTTTTCCGAGTAAACTATAAACTAAATAGCATGATAGTATAATTCTTAAATAATTTCGTCATTTTCGTTTTTTTAACGTATGCCTCAACCTGGGACAATGCGTGTCAGCAACCAATTGCTAATAACATTAACTGCGTCTCGTACAGAATAGTACGCGCACAAGAAACTTAAAGGGCGGCATGCGCAGTCGTCGTGTCGCGTCCTGTTCGTTATGGAACTCATAGCGACGTATACAACGCGTGTAAAATACATTGTTTATTTACATGAAATTCGAACAGGCGCTGCGCGACGACCACCGCGCTTTAAGTTATCGGACCATAGACCACATCGCAATACCGAATTATAGTGCATTGTGGAATAGTTTTAAGTGAATCAAATACAAGTCTATCAAGAAGGGGGATGTTGCATGGCACTATTTGCTGAAAAACTTGTCTCATTTGCCTTTGCATAAATGTTCCACGAGCAATGAAAAATTCGTCTTTTCAGGAAAATTGTGCCAAACATTGTTCTCCGTTTGAAAATCTCCGCCCAGGAACAGAAAACACACAAGTATTACTAGGCACAATAATTAAAACGTGTATTAATGCGTAAGTTTTCTCTACCTTCCTTGCACAGATTTCCCTTGAATCCAGGTGGGCATACACACTCTCCAGTCTCTGCATTGCATATTCCTCCATTGTAACAAGATGGGCAATTGTTCAGGCAGTTCGGCACACCATATTTACCGTTAGGGCACCCTTTAAGATATGCAGATGACGTCACGGTCACATTCGTCATCAGGATTGTTTGTTAGTACTAACAGATGTGTGTTATTGCTTCTTAAATACTTCACAATCATTTCGAATTTATGTTTATTTAATGAATGCAAATACTCTGCAAACCAGATTGTTTTCATTCTATTCCCTCTGGTGGAGTTGTTTTCATCTAAATAGAATCATAGCCATTTCATCGCACGGGAATGTTGAAATATTATTTTGGGGGGCATTATTATTATTATTTATGTTTGTAAATATACGTGCCTCTTATCGAATGGTTTAGACGCTCGTCAAAATCATTTTCATGATTATTCAGCTCTTACCTATTAAATAGACTGTAAAATTACAAATAATGTAAAATTACAAATACAGATACTAAACGCAACTGAAATGTGCGGACAGATTCAATTGACGTATTTGCCTTAAAATGTTTGCTTTCTATTTTCATATTTTCGTTCTATCTTGCATGCTGGGATAAATCCACTGAATACAGTGTGACTTCCGAGAGAAAATCAATAAAATGTGTAAACACGCATGCGCACTGCTTCATCCGAATAAACACCATGTTTGCATGCAGCACAACAACGCTCAACGTGTGCCTTAGAATCTAAACAAGAGTATCAAAAAACACACGTGTTAATAAATGTAGTGGCATATACAACAACGTAACATATGAGCGTATATTAAAACATGGTTGGTATAAACTCCTTGCACATGGGACTGTGAGCAAAATATTCATGCTCAACATATTAAGTAAATGTTACTCACCTCTCACGATAAGTCTCATGAAACCATGTAAACCATTTCGTCTCTGTTCTTCGCTAGAGTAACATTCATAAATTCCAGCATCTGATGGTTTAGCTGATGTAATTGTAATACTACTTTGTCCATTCCATGCTTCTATATCCACACCATTATGTTTCCATTTCAGTTGTGTTGCTGATATTGTTGTTGATTTTATAACCATACCAAGGCTCATATTTTCACCCCAACTCACGGTCTTAGTATGACTTTCCGGAAGTATTGAAGCTAGAAAAATAATACACTGGTGTATAGAATGCGAAGCATACCTCAACTAAAAGTATGCGCCTACTATTTAAAAGAAACACGGCCCTTATTCATTTTGCAATGAGGCGTATCCGGTACTTCTGGGTAATATATTTTGGTGGGATTACCAAATTATTTTCATACCTTTGGTTTTATTTTAGTAAATAGTGGCCGATTTGTCTGTATAAATCGATCATATTTTTAACTAATTATCACTATTTCTAGGACAATACTAAAGTTATGAAACTCGGCAGCCATGAAAACCGCGTATCGTTTATCCAGTTCTTAATTAGAAAAATAAATTACCCATAGGATTACCCATTCCTTCAAAATTGTACTAGGATTCTGACATTTTCCACTGAATTCATGAAGTAACCATGGTCTCTTGATGCCAGGATTTATGAATTTCACAAATAAATAGAGCCCTGTTTCTATTTACCCTTTTTAGAATACACCCACATGTATGTTTTCATAAAGTTTGACTACGAAATGTAGACATGCCCATTTGGTCAACAATAAAAGAAATTGTAGAAAATACGTAAAATATGTTTCAGTGATTGTGACGTTGTTGGGGCTACCTTATTGCATGCGTCAGAATGCATAATTTTGTAGTGGTGTTATAAGTCACCTGATCACCCGAGTGTATTGATATATGTAAAAAATAGTGCCTTTGGGGTAACTGAAAGTAAACAAGAAGTTAAACTTGAAAGCTCTCTGGTATATTTTATGCTTCGTGTGTTCGTGAGTCAACATATCACAGTGATATATTGTCGGAAAAACAATATGGCGATCAAATGATTGAAATATGCGGTTACTAAGCTAGAATGCAAATTACATCGGTGATATTTTGTTTTTAAGGAAAATACAAGAGCTTCGTTCACACAAAATCTGGACATATTCATATTGGTTGTTATATTCATAGTTATATCGGCCTATCATTACCATCGCTCATAGTAGAGTTGAGTCGAAGCGTATATATAACGCCGAATTTGATACGCCGACAAAATTGTCAACAAACAAGCTGCTCTCTGATTGGTCTAACTCATAGGTGCCATGTACGCCTCTGTGTCATGTGATCCATGGCCATACTTCGTGCAAAAACGTCATACCATATATTGGTTTGAATTACTCACCGTCCAGTGACAAAACTACCGTTTGGAATCTTACGTCCATGACGTCACAGTAGTATACACCCGGTCGTCCAGCCCCTTCTGGTAAATAGAGACGCTTTGCAAAATCGTACCTGTCTCTTATACGGAATCCATCTGGCAGCTCACCTCCCGTACCTATGTCGATTACTCTGCCGTATTTAAATGAGGACCGAAGTTCTTCCGCGGATTCACCTGATGAATATCCACCAATGAAATAATCGCCCGATTGTCTCACCACAGCCTTGGCGTTGAAGAATGTCACCTCTATATAAGCAACTGATTAAAATATATCGAATTATTGTATAAGTCTTTCCGGGAATCTTAGAACCTTACTGCGCATTTTATGATAGGAAATTTGTTTTATGTGTAATACAGCAAACACGCACATGCAAAGACCTCAACGATATGTAGCCATAAATGTAGCTAAACATATGAGCGGAATACATATGGAAATGGAGTGATCATATGCTTCTATTTGTCGAATTGGAAAATATAAATACGCACCGTGACATTATGTTTACATGTGAAATGTGGCTACGAGTTTTTGACCGAACAATTGTACACAACATCGGAAGTTTGATGATACGATAAATTGTGTCCGGTTCGAATAACATCTTCTTGTAAACAATTATTGTTTATGTCGCCTTATTTATAGAAACGGTAAATTTCAGGCAATGAATGATAACGCAAACCCGGAATACATACACGCTGTGGGGCACAATGTCTGCTGCACTGCACATTGCGCGACAGGACTAAGGCCCGGGAACGAGCATACTTTCCTGGTTATGATGATATTTTGACAGGACATGCAGAAAATGTTCATATATATTATTTGGTGCAAAATCAACCAAAAAAATTAAAAAATTTAAAATTGAACCAAAATTAAAATTCTGGGTTAATATATGACGCATGGTCTTATAGATTTTCATGTGAAAGATGTAAGTTCGGTTATTTTCGGGTGAAAGATGTAAGTTCGGTTATTTTCGGGTACTATCAACTGAGCAAATGCAGATAATATATAAGGAAAATCAACCAGGTTGATGTATGCGAGAACAGTGTAAAAACGAAAGGCGTTAGTATCAGACAAACTGCCGTCGTATAATTGCATGGTTATTCGTCTTTTTCACTATCAAATATGTTCTTCAAATATGTGTTGTCACATCAAGATGAACATACAATTGGAGTACTAGTCTAGTTACAGATGTTAATCACGTACGTCCTTTCGACATAATTGTCACGTTCGTACAACATATGAATATGAAGATATTCGTAACAGTATATACCCACCTCCTGCTGAGATCTGTAAAACTATCAGTAGTGCATGAAATAAAAACGTAACTTCCATTGTACTATGCAGTAAAAAAAACGGCAGAAGTTAACGTAGACGTACTCGAGACCCTTTTGCGCTGTCGGGCAAAAATGAAAACGAAAAAACTATTGTAGCTATACAATCACGTGACCGGTATGTTTAAGGTTGACTAGTATTATTTCAGTTGGTGGACGTTAAAGCCGAATAAAAGAACAAATGTAGATTGGACAAAATAAACCAAAACAATTGGTACGAAGGAAGACGCACACCACGCATCAACTGAAAACAATTAACATTATTACCTGGTGAACAACCATACATCTGCGTGGTTGAACGGCAACCGAGCTAACCCCCCACCCACTGCTAATGGTCCAACCTTCTTGAGTCCAGAGGCGGATGCGAGGGATGTATGTGAGATGAGATAGGATGCTTACATTAGTTAACGGAAGTTGTCGAATTATCTCGTTGTGTACATCTGTTTGCAATCATTCGACAAAAAAAGTGGAATTGTGCTAAAGTGTCCTTGTTCAATCAGCTTCCAACACTACATGGAAACAATGCAACGTTAACAAAACAAAAACAAATATCTATGTTGCCCGTAATTCGAAGTTTGATTAACTGTTAAATTATGTTAAACTGTTTCACATACAGTTGTAATTCACTTTTGTAATATTTTAACAACAAAACTACCAATAATATGTATGTGTGCATGTCGTTTTTTGCAACGACAACCATTTGATTGGTAACTGATATCGATTTCATACAAGGGTAAAACAAATCTGAATGGGTTTGATCTGCTCTATCACCCTCTCAACATGAATTCTGAGCCGAGCGATTTTTCTAGCCTCTAGTATTTTAATTTCTTCTCCTTAAGCCACTTCTCTTTTCTTGAGTTACACTTCCTAGTATATGGCGGAATGACAAGTTTTGCATTTACTTTTAAAAGCAGTCCCGTAATATTAAAACTACGAACATCGAGTTACAATTAGGGCGTGGTTTCTAAAATATGGCGTGATTATTTGTGTATTCGATGTCTGTATCTCGAATAATTCAGCATCTACTTCTATCATTGTATACAATGAATTTGTTTTTAGTTATCAACAGAAACCACAAGACCAAACAGACCAAATCATAACAAATCGCAGTAAACTATTATATTTAAAAGACTCTCAATTGTTGCAATGGCTTGAACTGGGAAGTCTTGCTGAACGCTATTAAGTACAGAGCGATCAGAAATTGCTTACATTAAGCCAGACATCGTTTTGGTCAAGCTAGCCGTCTCAGTCACACAATCGTGTAAAAATATAATATTGAATATTTAGTTTTGTCAGTGACGTATTTAACGACATTTAAAAATGTGATGTGTATCTGTAATTGTCTTGCACACAACGTTAAATGCTTGTTCAAGATAGAATTCGCGATTAGTGGAACATCTTTATACTAGTACATGTACTGTAAAGGGTTAATTATTCACTGGGTTTTAATTTTGCTTAACATTTCACTGACTGGAAAATGCGCTAAATTAAAACGAAGTGAATATGTCAAATTTAGCATAGAACTCATTATATAAATGATAAAACCATGAATTTTAAATCCACTAAATATACCTGAAATGCTAAATCGGTTATATTTAAACCCAGTGAAAATTATTTATTTTACAGTATTTGTTCTATGAAATCGCCGGTACACTTCGTTACGCACGCCGACGATTCGGTTTATGATGTCTAAATCAAAATAAGAAGATGGTTACATTTTCTCGCTGCCGACATTGACACACAAATGCTAGTGCTAGTTTACTGTCTGGCGGCGTACCCGTACGCATGTATTGGTATTGTGCTGGTAGCTTTGTATGCGTAATTCAGCGATAACCCTGTAATTATAGGTAGATATCGTATCGAACTGATCAGAGTTTGGCTGAAATCGTAGACTAAACCCGCTTTTAACGATTGCGTCAGATTTGTATTATCTTTCACGGTGATTCTGATAATATCTGATCGTATTAAAAAACATTGATTCAGTGTTTACATGTAACGTTATAAATCACATACACCGCCACTCAGATTCTCTCGAAAACGCCTTTTAGCGTGCGTAAAATTGTTTCTCTTGTTTTTATGTCTGTGGTGGATTTCTACGTGGTGTGTGTGTAGTCCCGGTCTATATCCACCAATATAACATGGATATGACAAACGTTCCACGGCCAATCCACAATAATGATACGTACCCCATGATGCACGTCGTAGTTTAGTCGCACTATTTTGTCTTTAGACACAAATATTCGAGATTCGCACATCAGAAATAATGTGGAGTTCATGTCTTAATTTGACCGGCGCCGACTAGACAATGCCAATAAGCAACATGAAAACTATGGTTTCACACATGTATACGTGTATTGTCACACTGTCATTGCTCGTAAAGAATAATTTAGTTTTATCTGTAGTATAGTTTACCCCTTTTCACACTGGCGTACCTCCATAAATGAAAAGGAGCGATTCTTAATTTCAAGGTGGTACAACTTGAAATCATATGGGGTTTCCTGTTGATCATACAAACATGGATACTTACATTGTTGGAAATTTATATTAAACGTTCAAAATCTAATAATAATAATAATAATAATAATAATAATAAGTATGTTTGGATGCTGTGGATTGTTTTGGCTTTACGTTTGTTTGTGTCATATTCCAGCGCTTTTGACTACTAATAGTGTTTGACGTACGTGAATCGGAAAAAAAGTTTCTGTGTCGTAATACTGCGGCTCGCCGCAATTTGGAATGGGGCTAATCTAATCCGATTATCAGATATTTCCCACTATTCGCGTATCTTTTGGCTATCATTCTTGGTATAGTCAAGAAGCCAATGAAGATCCAGAAATGATCGCAGAGGACAACTTTGAGTTAAAAAATATTTCCATCCCAATATTGACCCGGGTATAGCTTTTTAAAAATTCTCTGGTCGGGAAAATGATACCCAGTTTAGTTTCCTGGAGCACATAGTCACGACAAGTTTTCACAAAGTTTAATCGGGCCTAAAATAAAAGTACAATGGTAATTTTGAATGTGCCCACGTAATCATCATCGATTGTTGATCTGTGCATATTAATTAGGTGTTAATTAATGTAATTGGCCTCAATCACTGGCGCCTACCGTCTCTCGCGTGCGCCGCCTGTAATTCACACTTATGGAAATCTGCCGAGAAATGCGTTACAAATAAGACAACAATCGGCACGTTTTAGAACGACTCAATGTGACCATCGTTTTTACATCACCATCCTTCCTTGTAGCGCGATCTAGCGGTAAAAAAACGAAAGCATCGGTTATAAAAACATACCATCGTCGAGGGCGTTAAATTAGGTCAAACAATAAAACTACTGTATTTGACCAGCAAAAAAAAAAAATATGTTTACCAGAAAGCTACATTTATTACTTGTTTTACCACGAATAATGGTTTCAATACGGCACGAGCATTGCGCATACCTATACACAGACTGAGCGTATGATACATTAAGTTGTTATGGTATTCTGGCAAACAAGACGTGACCAGGCTAGGGTTTATAGTCATGAAAGTATAAGTATGATAACATACACATTACATGCAGGGCAACACAGATTCTTTCAGTTGACATTCATCGGACGATGACCCCACTGTGCCATGATCCGACGAATATTCACGTTGGCGTCAACGTCTTCAGACGATCGTGCTTTTATCGCAATGGCAAGGCATTTATCATCATCGAACAAGTCAGTTTTCTACAGCCGGGTCGCCATCTAACATCTAACTCGCAAGCATGGTGTCGCCTTTACGGTTAATTTAGATGGTGTGCGGTGCCGATGAAAGGTGGATGGTGCCGCTGGCAACGTATACAGAACCGTGAGAATGTAGCATGCTGCAATGGGGGAAGGAGTCAGCTAAAGGCCTATTAACCAGTGTTAAGAAGTTTAATAACAAAAGAAGAACAGTTTGATAAGGATCGCTCTATTGAGATATTATCTGTGTTTGGACAGGGGGGCACAATAGTTGACGTAGTGAGTGGCGACAATGTAGGATATGGATACGTGGTTCCATACACTTTAACCTATTATTCACGTTGACAACTGCCTTGGCTTTCCCTGGCGCCATTTAATGGCCCGTCTTTTTGAAACAGTCTCCGTCTCTTGTCTGCAACAGTGGGTCCATTTCGCGGTTTCAGGCATTCTTTCACACCTCGCTACGTTTCCGTTTGACAACTTCTGATTAGAGCGTTTATCGATTGCTTCGCCAGACATTCGCACGCTGAGATCGTCGATGGTGACATCCGTCACAATAACTGTGTTTTTCTCAGGCGAGATTAGTTATTGCCAAAAAAAAAAAAAAAACGTTTTACCGCGATTTAATGTCTATCGCATTATGAGTGGTCCGTTAGCCAAACAACCCCTCCCTTTAAAACAACAGGGGATTATCACTGTTTAGGGGGTCTAAAAACAAGTTGTCGAACTACTTGATAGCGTATGACCAAGTATAATCTCCAGTGTTCCAGGTTCGGCGGTGTTCATCATATACTTGGCTCACAAATCAATATTGTATTTTAGATTTTTTTGATAACATTTCAATTCTTGTTAGAAATACCATGAAAGTTGTTTATTTGTGAAGACGAAAACAAAATAATTCACGTACATTTAATTTGATATCTTATAATAAGTAGTTTTAATCAAATGAAAATAAATATGGCTATGTACAGAGCAGAATTAGATATTTTAATTGGAATGCAGTAATATGCTGTGGTTATTCTAAATGTAGATATATTTTCTGTCGATATTAATTTACAAATCTGGGATGTACCAACTATTGCACCATGTATGTCAAATTTGAGTTAAATTGAGTGTGGAAATCATTGGCGCGGCTAATTCGTAAAACCCTGTGTTACCGATCCGTATAAACGAGCAGTCACATGACATGAGAATTCACGATAAATCACACAGGAAATTGAACGGAAATTCTTTTTTTTTTATTTAAAAGTTCCAACACTACCAGCATCCGTTTACTTGACTCATCCGTCATGCATCCCACGCTTCGACATGTGGGATCGCTTGTCTTGACCGTTTTAGAAGAGAATTCGAGGCGTTGTCTGGCAGAGAAAAGATATGAACACAATCATCAATCCGTCTTATGTCGGAACCAAGGTGTTAGGTCCTTTGTATGTTCCACATGCCACCCAGGTTGAAAAAAAAATTATTTCCGCTTGCTTGGCAGCTAATACACAATTATTTCGTCAAATTCCAGTCAAGTAATTTGTCATCTTAAGGCCCTTTTAATAAGAAATTCCTCAATTGTTCGATGATCATCCGCAAAAAAATCTCACTTCACGGCACTTTTGTTTCAGAAGTCATACTCGACGTTGTTACCATCGTAAATGTCTATACGTTGTAACACAAGGACTGAGTGAAATTCCAATTTCGATATTTCAATAAAGGGGCTATAATTATAATGTGTACCCTTCATAGTGTGTTTGTGTCGTTAATTTGATATTGTATTAGGTTTGCTTTCATCAAATATTAGCCGTATTGGTAACCCGGCGCATATTATATACACTATTTGCCGTGAGGGCAACGAAAATAAATCATTATATGTGTGTACAGAGCTTCCTTTTATTTTACTAGCTTCCGGCAAAACCTTAAAGTGAAGTGCGGCAATTCCTCCGTCAAAACACATCGTGCTCAACAGGGTAATAATTACCTGGGCGAAAGTGGTGGGTTTTATGGAGCTGTGAGAGAAACCGACTTCATTTCCCCCGTGTATTGACATTAAAATAAAACGAATTGTGTGTATTTGCTGCTTTAACGCCTTTCTTTTCAGTGTCAGTTCAGTGTGCTCACCAGGCTTGATAGGCGATCCTGGCACCACCATTTAACACCGAACAGGCGCTAGGAAGTCCGTGGATACAGCGATCGCGTCAGACTCTGTATTCATCATGCTTATCCAATTAGCGCTAATTATCATCTACGATAACATCTGAAATACACCCCGTGACTCCAGGTTTGACATTGCTAAACGTGGGTAAAAGGGGTGGTGTTTGCGCGTCGCAGACAATAGACTGCACAGCAAGCAGCCAATGGGCGTCTTTTAAATCACATTAAGTCACCACCAAATGGATATGTGTGAACCGTCATATATCAGTGGAACCTCGTGTTTTGTTGTGCCATATACGGCTGCAATCTGCAAGAGTCAACACCGTGGTCTTCTTGGTGAATGTACAACCACTCTGTTTCACAGTGATTGTATGCATAACTTTGAGCTGGTACTTATATCTCACACGAGCAGTGGAAGACATACATCTATAGCCACGTATAGCGGGTTACATTCATATTCACCGTGTTATACCAGCAACTAGGTAAGAAATTCTCTCGTCTTCATTTCCATATTTCCACATGAAATATCGTATGACTATTAATTAATAAGTTTTTAGTACGATCTTCTTGGAACGTACGTGTGATACAAATACACATTGTCTCTTGCACTTATCATTACACGTTCCAGACATATCGAGATGTAATATTATTACTACTACCGCTACCGAGTACTAGAAACTAGCTTACTTGTTAACCGACTCGACCTCACCGATCAACACCTCGTTGCATTTTATTTGCACAACATGTACGTTCCTTTGTTGACCGTGCATAAATGGCTTAATTGAAAAAATTACGATTGATGAGTTTATTTTGTGTATTGCTTGGTCGCTGTCAGAGACCATCCCATTATAACATGTAGCTAGCCATGGCGTCTAACTTACAGGCATTATCAATTTTTATTTTTTTTCAGAGAGCCACTGAGAGTGTAACAGCAAGGTTTAGCTTATACGCAAGATACGACTGCCTCGGGGACAATTCATTTGTGTATATCCATTCATCGCGTACCACTTGATGTTCACAATGTGTAGAGTTCTTGTAGCATCTGTTTTATTTATGCTGTTGAGCGGCCCCGTTGTATACGCTTGGTCATTGCAGCAGCTGACTATGAAATCAATGGACAAGGTACGACAGAGGCAACAGGAGTTGGAATTGGAGGATGCAGCATCCCTGCTTTCCGTCATGTCGACGTCTTTTGAAAGCGGACCAGGGACGGACACCACTGAGGTGGATGGTATGGCAAGTGAGATTATGGACAAACCCGCAGAAGGAGAGGTGCGTCAACGACACCAGCGAGAACGAGATGGACGACGTGACGATGGCGAGAGTACGGGTATCGACATTAGCTCGTCGACGATTCCCGCGTCTGCATTTCGAAGACTTTCGTCTTCTGCACCTAGTAAAAGTAGGCACAATCACGGAGCAGCCAGCAAGGCAGAGGAAGATTCGAGTGGAGACTCGGCAGATGTTGCCACGGAAAATGAAAATGAGCAAGGACAATTTGTCAGCGGATTGGAAGCGTTTATGGAAGAGATTGAAATTAACCCAATTCTGAATCCGCTCGACTTTTTGCAAAGTGGCGACGAAGGAATGTTACTTCCATTAAAAGCGAGGCAACTGAAGCGAGACTGGTGTCTCGGTGCTGTCTTCGAGCAAGAAATCAAACACGACGGCTGTAAAAGCGTCTTTGTGAAAAACAAACTCTGTTACGGACAGTGTGGCTCCTTCTTTGTTCCTAGGGCAAAACACGGACATTTCGAGTCATGCAGCTATTGCACTCCTGTTAGGTCGCGAGTGGAAATTATTTCGCTTACGTGTCCGGGGAGGGCGAACAGAGTGAAAAAAGTTGAAATAGTTGAGAGCTGTGGGTGCAGGCCGTGTGGACATAGGTACATATAACTAAAGCACATATATTTATAGATTTATAAGTCTTGCATTTTTTAAATATAAGTTGTAAGATAAATTAGTAATATTTGTTCTTACTTATTTATCACGCGGTTGAACAACACCCGACACTGGACTTTGCACGAGTTCTATTTTTTGAGAAAACAAAATATTATGTGACGTTTTGTTCTTGAACAATAGCATAATTATTTGCCACCAGGCGCTTCAGAAGACACGACCCGACAAACCATTTCCCTTGCACAAACATGTATGGTGGCACCGCCTCCAAGCGTGCTTCGTGAACCAGGCGATTCCAGTTACGGGTGTGGGAACCATGACCGTTATTATAGAGTATATAATGCAGCTTTCGGATTGTCACAATCCACACGACATAACTACAACAGTAGCACGTCAGCAAGAATTAGCAGCCTTATAGGCGTCTTTTCTCGACGCATCGGACATGAGAAGCAAAACTACAGTGCCTAATACATGTTAATTAATGTATTATTTATGTATATTTACCCCCATGGACGTGCTCGTGCATTTATTTTATTATTATTTTGTGATTTCCCCTGAGTATGCACCAATGGCACTGCCATTCAGCATCAACGATGTACACATAGTCACTATTTATTAAACCCATGTTCACAGCCGGAAAGTCAGAAGGAACAAAAACGAAAGTCGCTGTATTACTTTTGTCGTGTGGTACAACAGACGTTGTAAAGGCTCGCACAATAGACAAACGAGTTTCCAATGAAAAAAAAAATAATACCACTCTCCACAGCTACACACGATGGCCGTATAATATAATATACGATCGCATTCACTGGGACACGTTTACGTACAAGTTTACACAAAACCCCACTGTTCGTACAGGTGTAATTGCTTCCCGTTTTATTAAGTTTTACTGACTTTGTATATATATATTTGAGTTCCGCTTTGTAAGCGGCAAACTTCAACTACGTGCGCAGCCAAGTGTCCTTTATTGTAAATAGCCAATCAAACTACCCTTTTTACCTAAGAGATGTTTTTACAGAGTTTATTACTATATAATAAAATAACTTTGACAGTAATTAATCGAACTTTATCACTCTCCGTGTTGTTATAATCTTTTTTTAGTGTCTCAAGAAATGATGTGTGTGCAATTCTGAAGTGAGTTGTGGTAAAATAGCATGATTGCAATATCTCGTTTCATTTTCTATGTTGGAATAATAACAGAAAACAAACTATGTTTTTGTTACTCCATATTCCTTTGGAAGAATGAGCATGTGAGTGAAATGTGTCTGTACACTCTATTTATTACTGTAAAATACTTTAAATTAATTTTCGCTGAAAAGACTATTTAGCTGTTTTGTATGGAATTTATTTTCACTGATTTTTGACAAGTTTAATGTAAAATATAGGGTTTTATTTTCACTGAATCATTTCTTAAGCGAAAATTAATTCCAAACGAAAATTAAGTATTCTACAGTATACCATACACCACTCATATATGGCACGTGGGGCTAAGCGCAATAATAACGATTTTTTGTGTTCGTTATAATTATCATGATTGCATCATTGTTGAAAATATGAAGAACATGCAGTAGGGACAAATTGTTTTCGTACTAAAATGTAAATTAGCTGGTTCCCAAGATGAGAGCATTGATGCCCTGCAGGTAACATTGGACGTGTATTGTTCTTCTAGACGTTAAAGTTGTTTGGGTCGACGAGTACGGTATTTGCGATGTATCCGCACTAAAAGTTTCTTGCTAATAGCCGAGCAGTTTTGTAGATTCGGCTGTGATTTAGGTCTCTGTACAGATTCTCTCTATCGTAAAATTAATATTCGAAGCATTTGTCTGAGATACGCAACATAATTTCGAGTTGTTTCTCTTGTATGGCCATAAGGACCCTTCCCTTGAATCTACAGTACGAAAATATTATTTGTGTTACCACTGCGAACTTCAAACTGTGACCGTATTGAGTATGTTGTGGATGCCCTGTGGCCGAGGGGGAAGTCGTTTTGTGACGTGAAAGCTTAGGCTGAATAGGGTCGCAATGTCCCAAATACAGTCTAACATTAACATCTGCTGAAAATAAGCCTTCAAAATATCCCAGACCCGTAGTTCAAGACTCTAATATTTAAAACTATGTCAGAATAGGTCTCCTAGCTTACACAATGCCTAATAAAAATCAAGCATTTATTTATCCGTTTTACAGTTTTAAACCTACACCCCATATGCCTAAAGGAAAACTGAGAAATAAAAGTGGACACAAACTTGAACTTATAAATTTAATAACAACATTCATCGTCGCCATCCATAACATCACGTCACGGCACCCATCCAGTCGGTCACTGCGTCATTCTAACTCAGCGCAGACCGTGAAGCAAGACATCACACAGTCGTGATTTTCCCGACAATATTGACATGAGAATCGTTGGCGTGACGAATATACTCATTCAAAATATTCCCGTCGTTTGTTCAGTCTAATTAGAGCATTCATGAATTAAAGTACCAACTCAGCTATCTGCTTCCAGGGACGTTTGCTAAACTGCCAAATTGCACGAATTTACACACGATTTTACCGTTATGATATATATTAATTGAGTTTTAAAATAAATAAATAAACAGATATTATTATTACTATCCGGTAGTTGCCAAAGGCAAAATACGAAGCCTTGGTTCATTTGAGAGTCTTGTCATTACTCCTTGCATTAACGCTCACTTCGATCCAGTACGGACAATACACCGAGCCGCCGAGCGATTGTTGTCAGTGCTCTATCTCATCGGAAAGAGCGTCTGCGCCTTGTTACAGTAACGTCGCCGCAGAGACACGGTGGCCACTAACCTACCAAGGCACCAATTAAACGCACCCCACTTATCTCTCTACTTGTTATTGGCGAGACAAATGAGTGTTGTGACTTGAGAAATTTTGAAATTGGACAACAAATTAAGGGACAATGCGTGAAATTATCGGGTGTGTACCATAATAGCTGACGGATCATACTGTGATAATAGGGGTCACCCAATCACATTGTCCGCCTTCAAGTCGGTGGTATTTTTTTCTGCTAGGTTTAATTGAGGACCTGTCTCCAGCTCACCATTGTAGGCGACGATTATTAACATAGTTCACAAATTACTGTAATTTAACAACATAACATGGGGGAATCGGTTTTAATTGGCGCTTACCGCAACTGACAAAGGTACTTGATTATTATTGCGCCGCCAGACACCATTAAAGACTGACAATAATTCGAGTTGCCCAGGAACTAGTAGACGTCTTTGAAGGTGGGAAAACGAACGAAATTAACCAGAAAATTAATCACATCTAATTTGTTTAGCCCCATTCGTAACACAACGACTTCGGTCTAGGGTGGAATCAACAGGTGTCCTGAACGGATGTCACGTGGTTTGTCGAGCGGCGCCGACATGGTATGTTAAACATACATACCAGCAATACGAAATACTGGAAAAGTTGCGCTAGTAATTCTCAGTTTTTCGCAGTGGCGGATCCAGAGGGGGG